CCCTCAGCCAGGGTCAACCCACCACAGCCATACAGCATGTTTTCAACAGACAGTTAAAGATTTTTAGTATCAGCAATAGAAGTTTCACCACTTCCTATAGGAGGCTAGGAGAAAGTGTTTTATAGATGATTAAGCATTCCTTGAACTTTACAGTGGAGAATATCTACATAATTTTTGCCATGAGTAAGGAAATTCTGATCCAAAACCACGTGGGTAGAGGTTCAGGCATGACTTTAATTGCTCATTTTCTCCTGTCCATTCTGTGCAAAGAGCAGGAAGGAGTCCGATGAAAATGAGTACGTCATGATTCAGTTAGCACCAGAAGGCTCCATTTACAAAACGGGGCCAAATTTTATTAATTTGCTGTTTTCATAGTTTTGAATGGGTGTCTTTGTAACCTTATATATTTAACAGCATGGGTTTTGTTAACATGCACACAAATACATCACCTTAAGGTATGCTTTTGGGCAGTCCATGTTCGGTTTAGTATGCACTGCTTCATTATTTAATAAGCTTTGAAAAAAAAAACCCTAACAAATAAATACCTTCTCTATCTGTTGTCTCTTTAGGTTAGGATTATATCGTGAAGCCGAAAAACAATTTAAGTCAGCTCTCAAGCAACAGGACATGGTTGATACAATCTTGTATTTGGCAAAAGTAAGTCATAGATTTGCTTAAGAATGAAGTGAAATTCCAGACTATCCCTGAGAAGTCCATACACCAGAATAGCTGAGTGTTGAGCTTTGATACACCATTAAGTTTAATAGTGTGTGATCTCCATATAGACCTGAGGCAATACATGCTAACAGTTGAAATTGAAGTTTATAGTTTGCAAAAAGATTTTGGAGCTTCCAGATTTAAAAAAAAACCCTAACCCCCCTCCCAGAAAAAAACCCAACAAAAAACCCCAAAAAACCCCAAAATCCCTCTCCTACATTACTGTATTCTTTGCTGTAAACTCCAGTGAGGATTATATCGCTAAAGAATTACTGGAGTTCCAGTGTGAAGACAAATGTAGCTATATATGGTCTCCTAGGAAACTAATGCAATAAATCAGTAAGTGAAGAGTGAAGCTCAAAATCCTAGTTTCACAAGAAAAATCAAAACAAAGTGAGCTTAAAGGAAGCAATCAGAGACCTTGAAACAGAGAATGTTCTGTCAAAATAAAGGCATTAAAAGCTTTAAAAAACCAAGTGGCACAGCTAAGCCTCAGAATTACTTGTTTACCAGGGTACACATTAGCTTCTAAACATTTTCGAAGACATACAAGAAAAGGTGGCCTGTGAGAAACTAAAACTGCATTTTTCTTCCTCTTGTCCTAGAAAGAGATGAAATCATTTGCTCTTTATCAGCTCCCTTTAAGCCAGTTGTCACAGGCCTATCCAAAAGTCATCACTACTAGTGGAAAATTCAGATATTCATATTATGATACTTGCTTTACCTTTAAATTTCTTGAGCAATTTACATTTTGTATTTAAATGATCATCATTGCTATCTGAAGACTTGCCTTCAATACAGCAATGGGAGTTAGTTTACTCAATTGAGCTTAGTAATTTTCGATTTTTATCACTACCAGGAGTCATTCTGCAAAACACATGAGCTACACAGAGTGATTAAATTGGCAGAGTAATTTGATTAACAAACAGTGATTTGTTATGGGAGATATGCTTCTCCCTACATCTTTACTAGCTCAAATAGGAGCTGCATTTGAACTTCCACCTCCCACTCCATAGACCAGTTCGCTCAAGTATGAAGCATCGCACAACATGATTTAGTGACTGTGGGTGGACAGGCAATAGAGTAGGGCACTGAGATGTAGCTCAATCTGACAGTACTGGAAAGATAAGACTTGACTTAAACAGCCATTAAAAAGGTAATAGGATTGCATCAAGTTCTGTGCAAACAGACCGATACTATGGTACCAATTAGTTTTCTGTTTATATTCATTATTAAAACAGCTATCTGGGTTTTTAAAAATGTTTTCCTGAAAGCTAACTCTCCCTTGAAATGTAATTTATGAAAAGATAAAAGACCAAAAGAAAACTAAAAAAATAAAGTGTCTTTAAAGAAGTCGAGGCTGCTGAGAAGTTACAAGTATTTCATGACCCAGAAGAGCTGGAAATGGGATATTTTTACCAGAGGTAAGAGAGATACTGAAAAGAAAATGGAACCATTTTGCGTTTAGCATCTAAAACTTAATGACTGTAGCTGTAGTACTCCTAAAGAGGAGATTTCCCCAAAGCAGCTGCGAGTAGGTGGAAGTTGTCCTGCCTGTCTTTTAATTTCTTTTGCCACTCATCTGGACAGCAGCTCTACACTCTGCAGAGATGTTGGACAATGTGATATGGGCATTACATAGTAGAGCACTGTGGCTGTGTTATCTTAGCATAATATTTGCACAGAGGATCTGCAGCAAGTGCATCTTTGGAGTGAACCTCCAGATGAAGCAATAGAGCAGACTTGAGTCATAATGCTCAGAAAACACACTTCATAAACAAACAGAAAAAGATAAAAAAAGAGCAGATCTAATGGAATTTCCTGTCCTCCATTTTTTTACTTTTTTTGCCCGAAGACTACGAAGATAGCTGTGCTCCATAGCTAGATGAGGTCAAAAAACAAGTAAACAAACAAAAAAACCAGCTAATTAAAATTTTGTCTCATTTCAAACAAAATATGGAATTATTTGTAGGTAGGGCAATGTGCACTGGCTTACTGCACATATTTTGGATAAATTGTACAAGTCACTTACATAGGTGATACTTAGGAGTAAAACACCCAGCCAAGGTTCTTCTTAATTAAGCAGTCATACCCAGCTATCGTGTATTCTCTTTCATCTGTGTGCTTTCCACTCAAACTCTTCACAGAGTAATTTAGGTGTAGGAAACTGTTGCTAGAAGAAAGTAAGGAGCATGACAGTCACAACGGAGACAATTATTTGCAGTTTAAAATTTAATGCAGACAGAAAATACATCAGAAACTGCTGCATGGTTTAGAAATGAAAAGCTATAGCAAAAGACTTGAAGTCTGGTTTAGATACAGCAACATGCCCAGATAAAGTGCATTAGGAATAAATTGTTGATTGAAAATATATTCATTGATGGTGTCATTAGTGCAGTCCTGGTCTACCAAGAACCACACCCCCCAAAAACCCAAACCCCTTACTCTTTTATTACTTTTCAGAAGAAGGAATACATTTTCTAGCTTAATACAGGAAACACAAGTGACATTGGCAAAATGACTGGAAAACATTGCCTCTCTTCTTTTTCTTTTTGCCAGTGACCAACTTGAAATGGCAGTCCCTTTACTAGGAAGGCACTCGCAGTTGACAGCTCTCTGACAATTAAGAATGTCATTTGAGTGGTCATAGGAAAGAATTCTTTGCAAATGTCTACAGCAGTATATATCTAAAGGGATGCAAATAAAGAACTTGGGACTTTAACTAGCATTTTGATTGTTGGCACTGAAAAGTCCATGAAGCTCAAGGCAGAAGCAGAAAATGTGTTTGGAGGTTTCTCAGGTGTCCAGTTAATGTTGATATTTTTCTTACATTGCATCACAAAATGTTTGTGTCAGGATACCAGTCACAGATTCTTTCCCTTTTTCAGTCATACCAAGTATTAGCACTGTTTAATGTAATATTTCTCCAACAGGAGCACTCAAAACACTTTTCCACTCAGTGGGAGACAGATTAATCACTCTAGCCATCTAGTTTCCCAAAGTAGGTGTGTGGGGTATTTTTCCTTTGCTGTAGCTGTATTTACCATACCTCACAACAGGAGGGCTTTACAGTTTTATGCTCAGAGGTGGTCTCTGTCCACACATTGATGTCCTCTATCCAATTCTCACACAACGTTATCCACATCACACATTGTTATAATCAACACAGAAGCCAAAATCACGTAGACGGAACTGCCCTCTTTCTGTGCTGGAATTTTACTGTTTGTGACAGGGAAGGTTGGCAGAGCAGTAAGGAAATTCAAAAGTGTCACTGCTCTGTGCAGTGCAGTCTTATTTGACTAAGTAAAATATTCTGATAATCCAGCACTATCAACCTGAAGATCCAGTTCTTCCAAGCCTAAACATAAGTTTTAAAAAATATATTAAACAGGAAAATATTCAAGGTGATACCTTCACCTCAGTGTCAAAGTATGTTATTTTGATATGGTAATAAATAACAAGATACTTATTTAGTTTATTAGTAATGTCCAGATTAATTAATAATTTCTAGATGATATGCATGCAAATTTAATTATCTTAATTAGCCTATTTTATCTTCATTACAGAGATTTATTCAGTATTCACTCCATTATTTTCCCAATATTCACCATCTCTACTAATGGTTTACTGCATAAAGAGAGGTGTCATCTCTTTTATTTATCTCCCTTGTTAAACAGCAGTACAAGTATAAAAGTCAGACGTTTGACATTTATATACACCTTTTATTTGCTTAGGTGTATTTGCGCTTGGATCAGCCTGTAACAGCTTTGAACCTTTTCAAGCAAGGGTTAGATCGATTTCCTGGAGAAGTGACTCTTATTTGTGGAATTGCCAGGATCTACGAGGTATGCACCCACTATGCAATCCTTATTGTGGCCAAGGTTAGCTGCCGGAGCAAGAAAAAAGAGCCAACAGTTGAATATAACTGTAAGGTCATAAAAAATTAACTACGCTGATTTTCATTATCACGAATGCAAAACAGGTAACATTACACAAAGATACCAAAGTAATGTCAGGGGAGCCTTGCAGACTTATTTGTTTAAATGGTTAATTACACTACTGAGATCCTATTTGCCCTTGACACACAGAAGCAAGTCCATGTTAAGTGGTCCAGATGTTGTCTATGTAGCTAGGTCTAGTTTATATATGTTTCATCGCACTAAAACTGCTCAAGTTAGTTACCAAGAGTCTGCTAGCAGGATTCAACAGCAAAATAGTCTACTCGTCAACATTGTCTTCATTAGCACTATGTGTTACCGTTAGTTTCTTAAGCCAGTGAGGACAGTCGGAATGTGAATGTTTCTTAGTTTAGGAAGTAGATGTTATTTTAAGTAGGATTAGATTAAAAGTAGTTTCATTTTATCTTGGTAACCATGTATTTTTTATTTTTAAAAGTGTTCATTTTCATGTCAAACAGTGGACTTAATATTGTTTTACACTGAAAGTTGGTAATGATGCTATTCCACAGCAAATGTTTTAAACAAAGTCATGGATTTTTTTGTGTGTCTGTATTCATACTTGGCATTCTTTCCTGTTCTCATCATTCTCATCTAACCCCTAAGCATTAATCCATTTTCATATTAAATCCTTTTTGTCCTTCAGCAAGGAAGAAAACAGCTGCATAATTTTTGGAGGCTTTTCTTTCTGAATTGTTAAACAGTTTTTAATATGGATATTATTTTGCAGAACTATACATAACACTGCATAACCCTTTAAGGAATTACTGAAGAGCAGTATATAGTTGACAGGATCTAGTTTTGCACTGACACCTGAGTGCAGGATTATACCTTCATTAGCAAAGATTTGTACTGCAGCACAGGGCTGTTCTCATTACATAGACTCACAAGTGGAATATATTCATCAGGCATCTTAATCAGAGCTTTTCTCCTCTGTCACTAGCTTTTGACAGTAAGAAGAGTTGTAGACCTTTTTGGTTTTTAAAAAAACATTTTTAAAGGGAGTGCTTTAGCACTATTTCCTTTAATCACAGGAAATACATCCTTTCATAGCTAAATACACTGCTGAGGTTAAACAAAAGCTTATTTTTTAGTCACATTGAGAGTACAGTGTATGTACAGCACACAGGTAGAAATTATTCCTCTCTAATCACAGAAGTGTATTTTGATCTTTTAATTTATTTTCTTCTGATATGGGGTAGAGTCCTCTGGTGACTTGCACTCTGCAGAAACAGTGTGACATTGTTTACAGCAATGAGTTCACCCTAATTCATCTTCCAATTAGCATACATCCAAGAATATTTTTTTATACAATATAGTTCTCTTAACTGGCATACTGTAGCTAGTACAAGTTTTGGTAATAAATCCATGATTCCTGTTTTCAAAGGCACATAATAATTCTTCATATGTAATTATATTCTCATTTGTGTTCAGAGCAATTAATGAGTTGGCTTACAAAGCATTGAAAATAATTGAGACATTGACTGGGGACATACGTCTACTGTATGTTACCGTATTGGGAAACCGACTGCACAGTACTGTGTATCACGAGGCATTGTGCAAAAAGTAGCTAATGCCTATTGCACGTGCTAAGCTTCTGACCAATCTCTTTTTCTGAAAAATAAAATTAAAAAAAATCTCTTTTTGTAGCTATGGCATAGAGTTAATGACAGGTACAGCTAGCACTAATAAATTAATGTGCATTCTTCTCATGGATGTGTGTGTCGCTTGTGAAGATGCCAATCAGTGATGTTGCTTTGTACAATCAGAGAACTCTAAGAGCATACATAGTTAATCTCAGTTAAGTACTGTACAGGGCATAGATAAAGCATTCAGTCGATTGACATTTTAATAAGTTTTATGATAAAAATCGGTAATAAAAAGTAGAATTAACGTGATTTTTTTCCCCAATTATATAGGAAATGAACAATATCTCCTCAGCTGCAGAGTACTATAAAGACGTCTTAAAACAAGACAATACTCACGTGGAAGCCATTGCATGCATCGGCAGTAACCACTTTTATTCAGACCAGCCTGAGATAGCTTTGCGGTTTTATAGGTATCTGCGCTTGTGGGGAGGGAGCGGGAACTGAACGGATGGGAGGGTAATATAAAGGGTTGATTTCTGTAATGCTGATAGCAAAAAAAGAACATTAGGAGATTGGCATGGGAGGATGATTGAGCATTTGGACAAATATCACCATAAAATCAGCATACCAATTTACTTATCTTCTTGGTCACTGAAAATTACATCTTTCTCTTAAAAAGTTGTCATCATTACATGCGGAATATTTAGAAGTATCAACAAAGATTATCAAAACAGTTATTATCTGATTAATTAACAAGAAATGATCTTTCACACCATGAGGCAGTTTGAGAACACTGGACCTTACTCTCAACTTCAGTTGCATTCAGAAGGCACATGGACATCCTATTTAGCCATTTGAAAGAGTAGTCTTTGAAAAACTCCACCTGAAGTCACAAGCAGTTGTGACCACAAAATCCCTTACTTGAACATGGGCTGGGGTTCCCCCATGTTTTACTGAGAGCAATAAAAATATAGTGTTAAACAATGCTGCTTTCATCTTTGCTGCTTTATTGCAATGTAGTCAGAGTGCAAAGGAGCCTGACTCCTGTTCTTAAGTCTAAGGGCAGATTAAGTCAATATAAACCCTACTGTCTCATTTCTGTTGGACCGGAGCTCTTTTATGCTTTAGGTTCAGAAACTCACAGTCATGCTGCAGACAGCAGCCCTCTTTTTCCCTGGCCCTCTTAGCATATCTGTTTTTCCTGTAAGTATTAATAAAGAGATTTTTTATAAACCATCTCCATTCTAAAGGCACATTAAAGAACATCAGTGTAAATCAAATTCTGAGTTATGCTTCAAATGTAAGATTAATGTAGATTTACATACTAGATGCACTAGCACTGATTAAAGCAGTGCTAAAGGACAGGAATCAAGAAAAAAATTGAAGTCTGAAGAGTTATAAAAAGTAACTACAACAAATTACAGCTTGATTGAGGTTGAGGGATTGGAAAGAAGAAATGGAGAAAGTCTGCTGCAGCTCTGTCTTACAGTAAAGTCAGATCATATGGTACTGTCAAAAAGACAGAAGTTATCTAACTTACATGAAGACTTTTGCACAGCTTTGATTCTATTAATCAAAAATGCCCTGCACTGCCCTTCATGAAACCTTTAGCAAGTGTAATCCTACACCACTTGGTGTTACACCCTCTTAGAATAGGGAAAAAGGAGGAGAGAACTTTATCATTTAGACTAGAACTCTGATTTTAAATTAATCTAAAAAAATATTATTTTTTTTTTCCAATCTAGACGGCTCCTGCAAATGGGTGTTTATAACTGCCAACTTTTTAACAATCTGGGCCTCTGTTGCTTCTATGCCCAGCAATATGATATGACACTATCTTCTTTTGAACGTGCACTGTTTTTGGCTGAAAATGAGGAGGAGACAGCAGATGTGTGGTACAACTTGGGACACGTGGCTGTGGTATGAAAAATATTAACAACCTTTCTGAGTAAATATAATTTTACAAAAACTAGAAAAAGAATAACTAGGAAGGAGTCATTGCCCTGCTTTGAAATCTGAAACCCAGTAGTGCACAGCATAAAGTGCAGTACAGATTAAAGGTTTATTTGCACTTCAGTAAAGAGGTAGAGGCAAAAGAAAAAAGTTCTTTACATCTTCACAGAACATTGCTTACTCCTGCTAAAAGATGCTCCCTCCCCATCATCTTTAACCTTCCCTTCTTTCTAAAAGAATTGCAACACGTACCAGCCCTTGAAGGCCTTTGCTGCAATACAAGCTAATCCGACAAAAAACCTGAATTCGAGATACTGTTCTCTGACCTGTTATTTGTGTTACATGAAGCATTAGACTGATTCTCTTGTCATAAAAATAAGTATTCAACAGCATGTAGCAGACACTAAAGCACTATGTATGTCATAGTTGAGAAGGCATATTCCTCCATCTTACAGGCAGCTGTAGAAACATTGTGTAATTGTGTGATAAAGTTTGTTAAATTTCTACACTAATTTGCATTCATTGCCCATTTTTGCAGATGTTCTTCCAGAAGTTGTGTTAGATTTCTGTTTGGCTGGGTGCCCAGAATAAGGTTACGGAATAAAGTTTTTGAGAGCTTTCTAATATAAGATGTCTTCAAATGCTCCTGATGATTTAACTTAAGTCAGAGAGAAACTCAGCTGTTCATCTTGATTTTACTGCAATTGGGATAAACACATTAATTTATACTGCCTAAAATACTGAAATTTGAACTGATGTGCCTGTATTTTTCAGCATTTTTCACTTTCAGTGTTTAACCTGATGCTGTATCAGTGTTGGTCATAACACTAGAGCATTAAAGAGTAGTCAGCTGCTCCATACAAAGAAATTCATCTCCCTTCATTTTCATCTTCTAAAAACTAGGCTTATGTGTGATTTCTTTAAATCCGTGTAGAGACAGAGAGGCAAGATGACTTCCACTCTGGAGACATCTCTGTTTTTCTTACCCTACTATAGACGGTAGCAGATAGCATAGTCTTTAGATAACACTTTAGTCATCTAAAAGTTAAATTAGATGAAGTGAATATCACTTGGAGCATGGAAGTTTGTGTTGGAGAGAAACGATTCTGTCTGGAGGAAGAATATGAAGCAAATGAGAGGGTCTGGAAAGAAAGCACATATGGTAGTGATCAGCGTGTTTTTATTGTAATTTGTGTCCCATGGTAGTACATATGGGTGAAAAGACACTCCAGACAACAAAGCAGATGTATGTGGTTTCCAGTATTTTCACAAATTAAGATACAATCTTACTTTCAGGGGATAGGAGACCTGAATCTGGCTTACCAGTGTTTCAAGCTAACGTTAGTCAACAATAACAACTATGCGGAAGCTTACAACAACTTGGCTGTGCTGGAAATGCGAAAAGGTCACATTGAACAGGTTGGTGTTGAATCTCAGCCTAAGCAGAATGCTTCCTTTGGCCCTTTTGTACTTAAGAAATGTGCCATTTCCCTGAGGTGGAGGCATCGTATGAACATCTGGCTTATTATTACAGGCAGAAAACATGGGTAACTTTTCTGCATGTTTCAGTGTAACCTCCACATTGTCATGCCATCTCCCATTAGACTGCTCATTCTTAGGCATATCCAAATGGTTCATCGAAGACAAACAAGGTTCACAGTGGCTTCGCAGTTCTTGATATCTTTTTTCTAAACTGATACCCAAAACAAAACCCATAACTCTGTGATTGTCACTTAAATTACAACATTGACTATATGTTCTGTTTATAAATGTAGATAATATACTTTTGTTGAGTGGCAGAAGACAGCAATCAGGTCAGCTCTTAAAAGATTTTTTTTCAGCAAAGAGATTGCTGTAGAGTTTTGTCCCAAATCAGCAGGTTCTGGATAAATACTTTTGCATCAGTAAGCTTGGTGGTTCGTCTTACCTAATGTGAGTATATCGAGTTGTATTGCGCTTAGATGTATAATTGACATGCGCAGTGGATTAAATGTGTTCATTTTTTATGGGAGCAAACCTATTTTGATAGAGTCATATATACATCAGAGAACTACAGTACAATATAAAGACTTGTAAATACCTTTTTTTAAGAGCAAATTCTCAAAGTTAACTTTATTCAGATAAACCAGCAATTGCCATGGAAACACTGAAATGAACCCAGCACTGGATGTTTCCAGTGACAAATAAACTTTGGGTTTAGTTTCAGTTTCATAATCAGTAAATTTACAGACATTTAATTCCCAGGTGGAACTTACGTCCAGTTGTGGAGGTTGTAATTGCTAATAATTAGCACTGCAGAGACTTTCCATTATAATCATTTCCTGTCTATTTTAGTTTTTAGCTTAAAAATTTCTATTTTCTTCATGTGTCACATATATAATTAAAAACCAGGATCATTGTGGCAGTAAAATTATACAGTGAAGAATGAAAAATGTGAAGATATTTTGCTTATCTTGGATTTTATTTTATTTCACAATGTTCTTTCATAAGTACTGTTGCATGTACTCAGAGTTGTCAGATTTAGGGAGTTTTAATAAGTTCTTAACTCTGCCCTCCCAAACAGTTTACAGATACTTTTGTTTTTAAAAGATCAGATTTTTTCCCCAAAAGTTCTCCATTTTTTAGTAAAAGCATTCACAAGTTGAACTTAATTTTGTATTGGATTTACAGCATGAAAAGGCACACTGTGATACTTAATTTTTCATTAGTTTTTAATGTTACTATTTTGCTAGTCAGAAAAAAAGATAATTTTATTAAATTTTTTTAGTGTGAAAACTGTCATTTTTATGGTAAAATTTAGGTTTTCAGGGATGCTTAAGACAGTGCTGTCACAGACAACAGGTAAATACGGTGGAGTGGGACTTTAAATACTTTTTTTTTAATTAATATATTTTGTTCAGTGTTTAGAACTGAATTGCTTAATTGAATAAGTCCCAACATGTTTTTTCTAACTCAACCAAGAATCTTATTCATTTCAATGCTATTAAACTGTATTATGCCTCAATGTACTATTGGTGTAACTCATACATAGTTAAGGATGGCTTCCTTAGTAAAGGCTTAGTAAAGAAAACACAGGATGATTTCTTTTAGGAATGATAAAAATTGCATTAGATTCTTGTTACTCTCCCTCCCTCACAGATTTCACTATCTATTTTTTCTTTCTCTACATAGGCAAGAGCTTTGCTGCAGACAGCTTCATCTTTAGCACCTCATATGTATGAGCCCCATTTCAATTTTGCAGTACTCTCAGAGAAGGTAATACAATTGTAATCTAAAAATTGAGCCTCGGTAAGGCAGCTGGGTTTTTATTGTTATCGCTGAGAATTCCAAATAAGTAAGACAAAAGAATACAGAGGGCATAAACTCAAGGAAAACAAGTTACATTTTCATTTTAATACCCAGAAGCTTTGTGTGTAAAAGTAATCATTCAATTGTTTGTCTTTGAGAATGTGAGGCCAACTAGCTGTAAAATAACTGTAATTTTCCAAATGCCCAAAAGATGAACAATCCATTAACAATCCCAACAATCCATTAACAATTTCATCTACAGTCTGTACGGTCGTTGGCTTTTTCAGGATGGGAAGTGAAATAGTAGGATTTATCCTACTTATAGAAAGAATATCAGTTACTCATCCCATGGTCTTGCTGATCTCAAAAGGAAAGTCTGTTCTTCAGCTTTACAACCTTTGAATTTTGTGTCTTAATAATTTCTTTCATACAGAGTGTCTCAGACACTGAATTAACAGTGTGTCCAACATTCCTGTTAATAAGGAGAAACTTGTACAAGTCCTTACATTTTTCACAAGAAAAAACTGCTCCTTTGCTTGTGCCTACACCTTCAAGATTCTGTTATGAGTCTGCGTTGTGTGGGCAGCCCAACTCCTACAGATACTAAAGTACATGCGTCAAGGAGAGAACAACCCATTAATTTGTAAGCATATCCTCTCCATTGTGAAACATAAGAAGGTTTTGAATAATTGCGTTCTGTACTTACCGATTAAGGAGTAAATCCTAGTCTGCAAATGTCTTGTTACATAGCTTTTGCACAAAGAACCTGCATAGGTTGTGGGAGAAGACAGATGGCCAGATCAGCTAGCTGTTGATGCAGCATGGTAATGCAATCCTTAATTCGGTGTAAGGCCATGGTTTACAAAACATAACTTCTCTGGCCAGGACCCTGGTTTCTTCCTCTTCAGAGAATTCTTGCTGCACTGAAGCTCTGTGTTGACTGATGCACAGGCAACAGAGGCCTTCTACTGACGTTTTCCATAGCTTCTTCCTTTCCACCCAGGAGCTATCGCTTTTACTAGATGTGTTCCCAAACATTTGGGTTCTTTTTTGCTGAACCCACTTTCTAAGATGCTTCCCTTACATACACTTCCTCCTTCCAAAAAATGATGGCTATTTAGGAAAAAATAAAGTTCCCTAAGTTGGGAACAATGTGGAAACATACTTGTAAAAGCAGCAGAGGAGCAACATCAGCTCTCCAACACTGTTGTGCCTCTCTGTGAGGAAGCAAGAAGTCACGTGGAGTTGTGGCTTTTACAGAGGCCTGATTGGTTGTGTTTTGCCTGTATATACAACAGCACTTCTATGGAGTTTAAAAACAAATCTTCCATTTTTTATTCCTCCTCACTCCAAGCACTGGATATGATGTACCTTGTTGTCCATTCTCCAAGAAGTCAGGTGGAATGGGATATAAAGTTACTCTCTTGAAGCATTCTTTCCATTAAAATCACATTTGTCTTTTTCTTCTCATCCCTTGGTGTAAGGGGGACATAACCCTGAGTTCAAAAGCCTCCATACTGACTCTGTTTTATTTGTTCAGTCTTAGGACTATCTATGTTTAAACATTTCTGAGCATCAGAAAGGTACTACACAGAATACATGGTGCAAATACTGCAGTGCTTGGATTTACAAAATTAGTTTCTGTGTTTCTCACAGGTTGGAGATCTTCAGAGGAGTTACACAGCTGCTCAGAAGTCAGAAGAAGCATTTCCAGGCCATGTTGATACACAACAGCTCATCAAACAGTTAAAACAGCACTTTGCTATGCTCTAATGAGCATATTTTTTATTATGTAAAAACAATTAGCCAGAGCAAATGGGCCATACATCTTTTTGAAAATACTAGCTCAGAGTAGATAAACTATACCTAGTGCATTCCTGTGGCAAAGCCTGTCTTACTTTGAGTAGCAGGAAAGTTTTAGTTTCTGTCATCTTAAAACATATCACTTATTAAAATGCAGCTGGAACACATGTTGCAACTACATACACAAGAGATTACAGGGGTGGAAGAATACTGCCAGTATGACAACTTTGAAGTAGTTGTCTGGTATATGAGCAAATCTCCATTTCATAGTAATGACCATTTTAAAAGAGTTTTTTTCTGACTTTTCTACAGAAAAAAGTGTTTTTAAATGTTCCTGTGTGACAATCTGTCAAGTAACACAGACTAAGAGTACTTCCTAACTGGTCTTACTGAATGTCAAGTTTTAAAACTAAAATACCTAAAAAGAATTTCAAATACATTGTAAAGCAGAAGTTCTTATATTCCTTGTTGTACTATATGAATTAAATAAATTCCATTTTACATGTTTTGTCTTGTTTGTTTATGTAAGTTAAAATTACATCCTTATTGCCGTGAAAGTTAGAGTCAGCAATCTTAATATATTTTGAAAGACTCTGCAGAACTGGTACTAAATAGGATAAATATGTGTGTTCCTCTCTACCCAGGAGAGAGTTTATTCTTGATCTCAGTGAGGGAAAAGAAGTTTGCAGAATTAAGTACTAATAATTGAGAAGGCGGCATTTATTGGATGGTTACCTGTGCTACCACATAAGCACTGTTGCTGAATAAATATTTGGATCATCCTAACTGCAAGAATACTACTGATAGCAATGAACAAAGACTTTCTCTCTGTCACATATCTTTGTGTTCTAACTAAAAGGGATAAATTTGCATGATTTCTCAACTTGACTTTTTTACAAGACCTTTAAGAAATGTGGGAAGTTAAGGCATTCTGAAATGGCGTGTCCTGAAACAGGCCTTTAAGATCTTTTCATGTTTCTCTGCTATATCCAGAGATTGTCTTGGCTTAGGGACCAACACTAAACATGTTTATGAATATTATGTCTTCCTTTTTACTATTCGTTACTTCCCAACCCTTATCTTTGTATGACTGTTGTAGCCGGTGAAGGCAGATGCTGGGGAGCTTGGAGAAGTGTACCCAGAGGCTCCTCCACTGAGCGGTCTGTAGGTGCCAGTTAGAAACACTGTCATTAGCTGGTGGCGCATCGTGTAGTGAAATGGAAAAGCATTGTGGGCTGAATAGATGCAGCATCTTTAATGGAAATTTTATTTTTTCCATGTTGCTTTTTATATTGTTGGAAATTTGTCACAAACGAATTAAGAGAGAACTGTAGCTATCAGTAATTTTCAGTACCTAAAAATTTACTTTCTGCTAAAAAGGAAGAATTTATGCGGAAGTTCCATCCTTTGATCTACTGTACTTATGTTTTTCCAGTTGACAGTGCTGAACGTAGGAAGCTACCAGAAAAGAAAACGTTTGTCTTAGCAGTTTAAACACAACTGTTGAGAATTTTTGAACGTCGTATTATTAACTCAAAGTAGTTTTAACATTGCATAGTAAATAAGATTATTTCTACATGAACTGTAACAGAAACTAGTAATACAGCTGCAGTTTTTAAACCAGTGTGGCAGCTCAATACTTCCTCATAGGTGCTTATAAGATCCCACTTACTGTGATCACTGTTCAAGTTAATGATCTGAGTAACTCTTCTTTTTAGAGGAGCTCTTTTTAGCAAACAGTGCTCCTTAGAACATAGATCTGACGTGATTATTCTTTTAATACTGGGGGATGTGTGGAGATTGAAAGGGAAAAGGCTCACAAGGAATCCTTTACACAAGATGCTTGTGCAAATTAATTATAAAAAAACCCACCCCACACAAAAACACACAAAGTTCTAAATAAGGATTAAAACCTTTTTAGCTCCCTAATGTGCAGCATCTGCAAGCCATTCCAAATTTATCTTACATGGTGTATTTTGATTGCCCCAAAAGGCAGCAGCTATTTGCTTTGTTGACCTTTCATGCCCCAAAGCAAGGGTACGACAATATTTTTTTCCCGACTAGCACATGTACAAATTAAATGTGGTAATGAGAACAGCACCACAATGAAACAACAGATGAATGAGCAGGCTGTTAGTTGTGGAAGAATCTTTTGATTTTGTTGTATGTTAATTCAGTGCAAGCTCCAACGAACAGATGAATCGGCAGGCCCTTGGGCAAACCGCCTTCAGTTGATTGAGGACGACGTAGCACAACACAATGCATCAGAATCTGTATTCATCTCTGTGGTAGGATCATGTTAGGACGGTGTGACCTTAATATTGCAAGCAGCATTTCTGTACCATAGAAATCGTTTTTCCTCTAACCTGTAGCACAGCTCCAGCTATGTCCAGCCAGCATTTATAAAGCCCCTTGGGAGTAGAAAATGAAAAAATAACACAATTTTTTAATCTATAGGGGAGATGGTGTCCACAACAATGCTGCCTGGAGGGAAGCTCAAAGCAGATTGCTGGGAGGTCTTGAAGTTTCTGTGTCCCTGCAGAAAAGGTCTGTACAGCTCAAGGCTGTTACCACCAATTCCAGGCAGCCTTTTGACCAGCCCTCTTGCTGGGGTCTTTCTGATGGATGAAGCCATTTAAAAGTTGGTAATGAAGGGTTAGGTTATTAATGGATTTTGATTGCTTTGCAAGATGTTATAGCCACAGCACTAGCCACAAAACTGTGGCTGAAATGAATCAGAATTCACAGTTAAGGGTTGTGGATCATTTTAGCTGCAAAAAGTATCCTCAGAAGTCGTTGGGCAGGACAGGAACAGTTTGCCATTAGGTGCCAGTTCAATCACTAAGACTTTGGATAATATCCCATTTTGTTGTTGTTGCTGGTGGGTTTTTTCTTTGATTGCTTCCTATTTTTGTAGGCTAGAGGGAGAGATTTTTGGGTCATTGAGTCTCTGATATGACATAGGCCAAACATTTTAAGCCAGGAGCTCTTTTTAATGAACCCAGTTTGTGCTTGACTAGCAATTACCTGCCAGAGCAGCAGCAAGTTTTAGTACAAAAAAGCTACAGCACCTTCCATGAAAGATTTTATATGTAGTCACTCTTGCTACCATATGTTTTTCTTCTTTCTGATGGATGATTTCAAGCTCATTCGTGCCCCCCCCAGTGGGTACTCATACCCCAGCACCTGGCCCATCACTGGGAGCTCCCACAGCTGAATAGGGCCACGGCCATTTTGCTTCCTTTAGGCAATACCCACTTTGCCTCTGTCACCAGAGCTGGCACTGGCATCTGCGATGGTTGTTTTTGACCAAATACACCGTTTCCCTACCCTAGAGAGCATGAATTGGAGAGCTTAGAAGAACCCTTTGCGCCAACCAATTTCTCTGAACTAGGACATGCTGGTTTACTCCACAGAGCAAGCAGCGGTCGCTGTGAAAACGTGCTGGCAGGTATCAGCTCTGCCCCTTCAGCAAGGATGGGACCGGACAGTCTGAAATGCAGGTCGAAAATCAGTTCAAGATGAGTGCAGGGGGAAAGCAGCTGCCTACCAGGAAACTAAATAAGCTGAGTAAAAGGCTTTGTGAGATCCCACCCTGTTCCTCACCCACTCCAGAGGACATCTCAGAATTGCCGTTTTAGCATGTTTCCAGATGAGAAACATTGTATATTGCACACAGTGATATAAAACGTGGGGCACAAAGCCGCTGTGGAATCAGACTGAGAGAAGGGGTGAGCTTTCAACAGAGGGCCAGGACAACAGGCAGCTCACACAATTTTCTCTGCTGCTTGGAATTTATTTAAGGTCTAGGGCTGCTGCAGACTTCCAGTGCCCAGCAGATGCCTTTGTGTACACACATTGTAATTTTGCACCGCCAAGCTCTGTGGGCCACAAAATACCATTTTACTGATATCCCCATCACTGAGAACACCCGAGCAGATGGTGGATGTAGAATGCAAAATGCCCCTTTCTCTATAAATAAAAACAAAACTAGGTTTCTCTTTCTGCTTTAGTAGATGAATGAAGCAAAAGCCAAGAGACCCTGCTATTCAAGTCATAGACAGACTTTTGTCTCCAGTCACTCTCCAATAGCATTTGAATTCCTGTGCTGGTAAGTTAGTTGTGTTACATTTCCCTATTCAGGTTTCCAGAGTTTAAGAGTACCGAAGGAGCTGCAAATGCTCAGAAGCATCTGTAAGCAGGTTAAATCTGGGAGAGATGTCACCAGAGAAGCAGTTTTTATTGCTAAACTATCAAGTAAACATACCCTGAATTATGCTGAATAGCTGATTGATCTGGATGAGTACTATATTTACCTCCTCCTTTCTGTTGGTTAGTTACAGCAATTGCTTGGTACACAGCCTTCTCCCTTCTTGTGTTTAGTTTACAAAAGGGTCATAAAGGTTAAGCTGAAAAAGACTTCCTAGTTAGATACTAGATCCATATAGAATATGTGTAAAAATAAAAAAAAAAAATCAAATCAATATGTTTACAGTAAAAAGCTCGCTTCCGAAAACATAATGCATTACGTTTAATTGTGTATGTGAATATATCAGCACATACAAATATGAGGCTTTTCCCCATTTCCTGTTTGGTTTTTGACAGGGATTGCCAGTGAAACCAATTATATTGCTTCAAAGATAAGTCTTCAAGCCATTAGAAATGAGATGCAAGAAGAAACAGCAGGATGCAAACCGTGCTCAGCGCTATGGAAAGGGCAAACTCATTAAGAGCCAGGAAAGTTGGTTCCAGCAAGCAGACCACCCCAGCAATTTCATCTCATTTTCAGCTTATTCAGTTTACATAGCCATAAAGTAATTGCCAAGATTTTATACTACTATCAGTTCCATATTTTGCCAAGTCTATATCCTATAATAATGCCAAACACCTTTAAAGCTATTACACGTTAGCTAATTAATCATTACATACCATAAATTTAGATCATCCCAACCAAGGGTCATAAAACCTTCGATCAAGAGACTCTGGTCTATTTGTGTCCGAGATACCACACAAAAGCTAATTTAGGAACATAACCCAAGATTATT